AACTTTGTTGGAAGACAAATCCCTAAGAAAAAAAGGGAAAGTTAAATAATCATTAGGTAAAAGAAAAGTAAAGAATGAATATTCAAGACGAGATGGTGAGTTTATAATTTTTAGGGTGAAAGTATAGAAAAAGACAGCAAATGGACTTTTTAAAGTCAGTTTCGCCTCGCATTCACCACGCTGTAAACTTTGTTTCAGCCGTGATCACTTGTGTTAAAAATTGAATTAAGACAGATATCAATATAGTTGAGTATCTTAAAATGTCCGTTATTTCTTACAGCAAACTCAGCTTCTGTAAATTCACAAACACTTTTTCAGGTAGAGAGATAATAGAGTTGGACGACAAATTCCTGTTGAGAGGAAACTTTTTTCAATAGAAAATAATATGCACATGAAATGTACGTATTTGATTAAGATGAGCATCTAAAATCTCTCACAACCCTCTAAGCTCCCGTTGAATTAAGAAACCTCTATTAGATACAAAGGAAATGGCGTTAAAAGACAAATACTTGGTAAGAAAAAAATATCCCGCAGAAAATATTCTTCAAACAAATTGAATATATTAATTTTCTAGTATCTTAAAATGTCAGCTATCCTTTACAGCACTACCAGATCTTGTTAATTCAAATACACTTTTTCAGGTAGAAAGGCAATGGTGTTGGGAGAAAAATACCCGTTAAGTAAAAAATAGTCTTGAAGATAAAGTTTTCAAATAATTAAAATCAATAATTCAGTTTATTTCTAAGTAGAAAGGCAATGCATGGTGTTGTGAGACATCCCTTTTGACAAAAAAAAATTCCAATATATCCCGCTGGAAATATAATACAAACAAGTTACATCTCCTATTTATAATTAAGGTCTTCAAAAATTTCTGTTTTCTCACAGCCTCTCCAACTTTTTTAGTGTCAAAAATACTCTTTCAGGTAGAGAGGAAATGTTGTTTGAAGACAAATCCCTGTTGAGGAGAAAAAATACCAGAGAAAATATTACTGAACAGATTGAATCCATGAATATATCCGGCTGGAAATATTACACAAACATGTTTAATCTCTTATTTATGGTTAAGGTTCCCAAAACTGTCTGTTCTCTTACAGCGTCTCCAACTTCTCTAAAGTCAAAAATACTCTTTCAGGTAGAAAGGCAATGCTGTTGGAAGACAA